TCTGTGTAGGAAAAGTTTGTTTTCTGGAGAAATTAGCCAAGGCAGGGAAAGTTAGGCAGTCAAGTTTTCAAAGAAAGTCAGATCCAGATTTAACAGAATAACAGAGTTGGAATGGACCTTGGAGGTCTTCAAGTCCAATTCCCCTGCTCAGGCAGGAAACCCTATATCAGGGGTAGGCAACCTTGGCTCTTTTATGACGCGTGGACTTCAACTCCCAGAATGCCTGAGCCAGCATGGCTCAGCTTGGAAACCTGTCCCTTTCCCCTCAGCACGGCTGGCTCAGGAATTCTGGGAGTTGAAGTCCACCAGTCATAAAAGAGACAAGCTTGCCTACCTCTGGCCTAGGCCTAGGCCGCTTTCTGACTCGTGGACTTCAACTCCCAGAATTCCTGAGCCAGCATGGCTCAGCTTGGAAACCTCTCCCTTTCCCCTCAGCATGGCTGGCTCAGGAATTCTGGGAGTTGAAGTCCACGAGTCATAAAAGAGCCAAGGTTGCCTACCCCTGCCCTATATCATTTCAGACAAATGGTTATCTTTTTGAAAGCTTCCAGTGTTGGAGCACTCACAGCTTCTGGAGGTAAGACATTCCACTGATTAATTGTTCCCGCCGTCAGGTAATTTCTCCTTAATTCCAGGTTGCTTCTCTCAATTAGTTTACATCCGTTGCTTCTTGTCCTGCCTTCAGGTGCTTTGGAGAATAGCTTGACTCCCTCTTCTTTGTGGCAGCCCCTGAGATATTGGAATGCTGCCATCATGTCCCCCCTTGTCCTTCTTTTAATTAAACTAGACAATTCCAGCAACTGTTTTTTATATGTTTTAGCCTCCAGTCCCCTAATCATCTTTGTTGCTCTTCTCTGCACTTAGATTTATGCAGAAATTTGACACCAGCTCTCTCCAACCTGGAGATCAGAGGTGGTGCATCATCAATTCTCAAAATCTGGTCATTAGTGGCCAGGTTAATTAGCAGACAGGAGAATTGGTCCTATACTGTTAGATAGAGAAAAGTCTGTTTTGGGTGTGTATTCATCAGATTTGAAGCTAACTATCAAAGCAGGAAGGTCCCCAAGGAATGATCTGCAGGACTCTGATCACACCATCATGGCCAAATTCTTCAATTTTTTACTACTCCCTGGAGGCAGCCTGCAGTGAAAGATGAATAATTGCAATGTATTTTTTCTTGCTAGGTTTCTCCAGCTGTACTCCAAGACCTTTCTACTGATAATGAAATGGTTCCCCCCACCTCCTAAGAGTGCTTGGAGGTGGACATTGCCTGATGTATCTACTACTCTCATGTGATTCTTCTCCACACTGAATGGAGGGTCTTCAAGAATGCTGAGTAACTCCATCTCTGAGAAGAATGTTGATGTTTAGGATCTCAGGCCAAAAGCATAGCATTGTTCATCCTGTTGGGATGCATTTTGTAGTAATGCCACAATTAATATTTCTGCTGTTGGCCCACCCACAATTTGGAAGATAATCCGAGCACAAAGGTCCAATTTGACACAGAGATGGCATCCGGATTCCAAAAAAAGATGTTGATTGAGCAAGCAAGCTTGTTGCCAGGCTCATTTTCTTTCTGCTTTTAGATTTCTTCTTCCGTTAATGTTGATTCTTTCTCAAGACGCTGTAGGTGACTGGATTTTCCCTGCTCATCTAGGTTAAAAATCATCATATAAAAAATGAGGACCGCTGGGGAATTAAACCTGCAATTCTTTAATCTTAGTCTGTCCTTCTAGCTACCATCTCATATCCTTCTTTTTCTGCACCTCAATCCAATTCTGGCAACAGAATTGATGGATGGATGAGGATGATGAAAGTAGCTGTTGAATGTTTCTAGAAACTTCATTTGAGGAAGGCAAATATCTAGACTTATTAGGAGTGACCCTGGATGAGCATCCATGCCCTGAATAAGTATGCATAAAACCAAATTACGTACCTATTAGCGGATCTGCTTTTTTTTATAACTTTATGCCTTATTTGCCTGAAGAAAAAGAACTCTCATTTTAGATATAGACAATATTTGCTTACAATCTTGCCCTGTGTTATAGACCACAGTTGTCCACAAGATATGATAGGAAGGTCAAGATGGGGCTGTGATCGTGCAAATTACCAATTTTTAATATATATTGCACATAAAAAGGCAGGATTTTGATTGTACCATCATGGTTGCCATAATGACTTTTTGTTTTGGCCGCACTTTGAGGAATTCTTGCCCAAGATATTTCCAAAATACAGTCATTGCTACTATTTGGACAGGCTTCCTACAATGTATATAGCTTTCAGCTAGATGATGATGATGATGATGATGATGATGATAATAATAATAATAATAATAATAATAATAATAATAATAATAATAATAATAATAAAGCAAGCAAGGGTAGTACCAATAGTCATAGGCTTCTTGGGTGCAATCCCAAAACAACTGGAGCACCACTTGAACACCATTGGCATTGACAAATTGCTATTAGTCAATTGCAAAAGGCGGCCTTATTAGGAACTGCTTCCATCCTGCGACGATATCTGTAATACCATCAAACATCCACATCTGCCTATCCCAGGTCCTGGGTAAGGACTCGATAGGTAGACAAAATGCCAAATCCAGTCTGAACATCTGGCTGACTGTGCGATGATCGATAATAATAATAATATCTGCTCAGGCAGGAAACCCTATACCATTTCGGACAAATGGCTGTCCAGTCTCTTCTTAAAAACCTCCAGTGTTGGAGCATTCATCGCTTCTGGAGGCAGGTTGTTCCACTGGTTAATTGTTCTATTTGTCAGGAAGTTTCTCCTTAGTTCTAGGTTGTTTCTCTCCTTGCTTAGTTTCTACCCATTGCTTCTTGTCCTGCCTTCAGGCGCCTTGGAAAATAGCTTGACTCCCTCTTCTTTGTGGCAGCCCCTGAAAGACTGCTATCATGTCCCCCCTCGTCCTTCTCTTCATTAAACTAGACATACCCAATTCCAGCAGCCGTTCCTTATATGCTTTAGCCTCCAGTCCCCTAATCATCTTTGTTGCTCTTCTCTGTAGTCTTTCTAGAGTCTCAACATCTTTTTTACATCATGGTGACCAAAACTGGATGCAGTATTCCAAGTGTGGCCTTACCAAGGCCTTGTAAAGTGGTATTAACACTTCACGTGATCTTGATTTTATCCCTCTGTTAATGCAGCCTAGCACTGTGTTGGCCTTTTTGGCAGCTGCAGCACAGTATTCTGCTAGTAAAACATCTAGTAAATCTCCTGGTACCCATAGCAAACATTTTGTGCTATAGAACAGAGATGGAATGTGGCCTTTACGAGGGTGCTGTGCTCAGTGACTCATACACATTGTGTGAAAATCAAGGGAACTTGCATATGTATAACATTCTGCAAAATTAGGCTATTGTTATGAGTACCTCCAAGCAATTCATCATCTTGTTTGCCGATAATGTCGAAAGTTGTCAACATTAAAATTAATGTTTTCATCATCGCAAACTGCCCTTCACCATGAATCATTGATTACCTGGCCACATCCAATCAGATGATTTCCCCAATACTTTGCCAAAGCTAGTTAATCCATCATCTATTTCTCTCTTTTGTGCAAACATTGAGACCTGTTGAATAATTTGTATATTCATTTGCAGCGACACCCCCCCACCTTCAATTTGGCAACAAGCAATGAAAGAAATAATTTGGCATTGTGTGTACTATAGTAAAAATAAGCTGCAATTAAAATGCAAGTATGATGCACCTAGAGAGAGATATAAAACAGGAGTTATCATAAACTTAACTTGTATTTTTATGTTATTTGCTGCAAAAATCATTCTTTTTTGTTTCCAGAAGTTAGATAGGTAGATATGTAGCTAGGTAAATAGGTAAATGATAGATAGATAGATAGATAGATAGATAGATAGATAGATAGATAGATAGATAGATAGATAGAATGTTTACTTCTCTTTTAAATTGGGCTTTAGTTGTTTCAGTTGTTATTTATTGATCCATTATTTTGGCTTATTTAATTTTAAAATGCTATTTCCAGACAAATGTTTGTGTTGTGCAGTGAAAGACACCTTTAACTAAACCACAAGAATAGGTGGAGTCTAAATATTTGAAAGAACATTTGAAAGAACATCCTACCATCCCATGAAATAACATGGGATGGCATGATCAAAACAAGGGAGCAGCAACTGCACAAAAGCAAATATTAGCTAATCATTTGGATAAGAACAGTAAACAGAATCTGAAGGATTTGCTTGAATATTCCTTATAGCATTTCAGTTAAGCAACACTTTGGAACCCAGACAAACTAAAGTTGAATGACTGTTTTTAATACTGTTTACTGCTATAGAGACTCAACTCACAAATAACTTTTGAATAAGATTTCTGGAAAAATTCCTGAACTGATCTCTGAAGATTACTGAAAATGCAACTGAAGTGAATTGACTGTGTGTGTATGTGTGCACACATATGATGAAAACAGAGACAATATCTGAATCAACTATATTAACTTGGAAGTTAATGGAGAGAGCCAGTTTGGTGTGATGGTGAAGGCATTAGACTAGAAACGGGGAGACGGTGAGTTGTAGTCCCACCTTAGGCATAAAACCAGCTGGATGACCTTGGGCTGGTCACTTTCTCTCAACCCTGGGAAGTAAGCAATGGCAAACCAGTCCTAAAAACACTGCCAAGAAAACTGCAGGGACCTGTCCAAGCAGCTTCTGAGAAGGGGACATGTTGAAGAGAAGAAAACACACAGATATCAACACACATGTGTATGTGACAAATGCAGATGAAAGAAAAAGAGCCAGATCTGAGTCAACTACATTGACTGGGAAGAGCATGTTCTTCAAAAGAAATGCTTCCTACTGACTCCTGCACATACCTTCCAGTGGATTTTCACACCACGCCACACCTGGAACTCATGGCTACTTCACTGCCCTTCTTCTCCATCTTTTCTTCTCTAGACTCCCCAAACTATAACCATTTTCTAGGGAAAGCATCAGAAGAGGCTGATTGTTTACCTGTAAAGTTGACTTTGAGCAAATAGTCTTTGTAGAGCTTCTTGCCATCCAAATGCTTCATGCTGTCACAGAGCTTGGTAGTGTTTGGACACATTGTCCGCTGCATTTTATGCAAGGCATGGGCCATGACATACACCGCGTTTACAACGAACATGATCTTGGATTCTTGTTCGTAATTGGAACTGTTAATAGACAAATGCTTGTCACAAGCTTTTTTGTGGGTTTTCCTGTTCTGAAGGCTGCACTGGAATTTCTGCTCCCAGAAATCCTTAAACCAGGGATCGCGATGGTTAGTATAGGGGGTGAGACTCTGGAAGTATCTATCAAACTCTTTGATTGGATGGGAAGCAAGCTCTAAAGTGATGGCCCCATTGGCAACATGTTCGTTGCCCTTGACCACACTCTCCTGGGCTCCCCAGCCATCACTGGCCACCCAGGTAAAGGAGACATTGAACCGGTTGGCTGCAGCGATGAGTTCCCGAGAGTCATCGCTGCGCATGAACAAGACGACCACTTTCGCGTTGGGCTTCTGGAGGAGTTCTCTAATGACGCTGTCATAGGACTTTCGAATGTTGGATCGGCCGACCTTCTCAGAGGTGGCGATGCAGATGTTCCTTAGCCGGGCTTCTTGTTCAAAGGCTTCAATCCCTGTTTCTCCATAGTCTCCTTCCGAGGCAACCGTGGACACATACGTCCAGTTAAAGAAGCGCAGAATCTCAGCCATGGCCTTGGCTTGATAGAAGTCTGGAGGCACCGTCCTTGCAAAGTAGTCGTACCGGGTCTTATCACTCAGCTTGGCACTGGTGGAGGCGTAGCTGATCTGAGGAATCTGGAAGAGCCGGAGCAAGTTTGCAACCTGGAAAGAGAGAGAGAGAGAGAGAGAGAGAGAGAGAGAGAGAGAGAGAGAGAGAGAGGGAGGGAGGGAGGGAGGGAGGGAGGGAGGAGAGAGAGAGAGAGAGAGAGAGAGAGAGAGAGAGAGAGAGAGAGAGAGAGAGAGAGAGAAACAGCATTAGGATGCCTAGAGAAGGTGCACCCTCATTCCAGGAATGGATCCAGAGTTCTGTGAATGATCTGAACTCTTCTGGATGATTCTGGGGCATCTCATAGGATGCCAGCCCCAAGATGTAGATCTGATAAAAAAATTTTTTTTTAATTCTAATTAAGACTAAAACTACTTTTATTAAGATTGGCTATGGTAACAGAAGATGGCAACTCTGATTATGATTTATTATGTGAATTAGAGAGATGTCTGATGCATTTTTGCATTCTTCCTTTATTGTTTGGGCTTAAACAATGTTTTCCTTCCTGATGCTTTGTTCAAAAAAATCTCTCTCTCTTTAACTTTATATGATAGAATCCTTGGATTCCTTCCTTCCTTCCTTCCTTCCTTCCTTCCTTCCTTCCTTCCTTCCTTCCTTCCTTCCTTCCTTCCTTCCTTCCTCCCTCCCTCCCTCCCTCCCTCCCTCCCTCCCTCCCTCCCTCTTTCTTTCTTTCTTTCTTTCTTTCTTTCTTTCTTTCTTTCTTTCTTTCTTCCTTCCTTCCTACCTACCTACCTACCTACCTACCTACCTACCTACCTACCAAATTTCAGAACTACAGTTGAAGAAAGATAAGATGACATACCTATTTGAAAAGAATTAATGAATGGGTAAGAATCAGAAATCAAATACAGGTTTTAGTAAAGCAACAAAGCAGAAGTCTTGGTTTTATCATCAAACATAATTCAATAACCATGTTCTTTCTTATAACATTTCTGTTTATTGTAGTTTTCTTCTCAGTAGCAGCAAAGGGGAGATTGAATAGGATTAAATGTACCCGTATGGTATTCAGAAACCATAAATTAGCTTACCATTTTGTACAAATCTAACCGTTGAATTTTGAGAATTAGATATTCCTTTGCTAGAATGCAAGTTATTGATTATATTGAATCAATGATTGTTCAGTGAACTATTACAGTATAATCAGTTTGGACTCAGATGTCGAATATTTAAATGAGTATATCTGCATTTCTACAAATGTGAGAGTTAAATCTTTTAATTGCATCACTAGGATATAATAAGATTTTATCCCTGTATAACAGATTCTCTCACATTTGTGCCTACAGGAAAAGAATTGAGACAAAAATATCCTCAAAGAATTGAAGTGATGGCTGTTTAAAGTTACCTCCTGCCACATCCATCTTGAAAATTGCACTGCAAAAATGATCTGAATATTCATAAAAGCTTAAAGAACCTTATGACGTCATCAACAATCAGAGCAATCAGATGAGATGCCTGTAACCCTTGTACTGATTGTATCGACTCCCAGGCACTTCCAGTTGACGAGTTGTTATCTTCCAGCGATGTCTTCTGGCTCTTGGACTGAAGTATGTGTTGACAGATGGCCGATGTGCCAAAAAAGAATAACTACTTAAGTAGGAGAATTGCTTTGGGTAAGTCTCCATCTGAGCCTTATTGCCTTCAAATGTTCTTTCTGCTAATAGCAGAAATCAAAGTTTTGGAGGTCAGCTCTTTAATATTTAAATTTTGGAAGGCCCTAGGTTCGATCTGCAGGCACTTCTGTTAATTTTAACCACACTTGGAAAGATCTTGAGATCTTGGAGAACATTCAGATTTTGAAACTACTGACCCAAAGGAGGCATTATTCTGAGCCAACATTTAGAAGTTTCGTCCTTTCTTGTAAATAATACTGAGATGTTATTTTTTTCCCCCCTTAACTGTGCTACTGCAGGCAAGACTGGAAATGTTTGGTGGTGGTTTATTCTCCAGGCTTGTTTAGCTTCTGAATGTTTCATCACCAGGCTAGGTGATCTCCTTTGCTTCTGTTGAAGTGTCTTGTTTCAGTTCTTCTCCACTTTTATTGATATCTATCATGTGGCCATGTGGTTAGTGGGTCCGGAACAAAAATCATTGGCCATGCCACCATATGCTACATACATGAATTCATCAAAGTCTGGTATTCTACCAATGGATCCATCAACCAACATGTTGATTTGGAGTCGTATCAACCAATGATGGCACTGACCACCTCTTCCCTTGGTGACCTTCACTTGACATCACCAGCCAGTCACACAGCATGTCATATGGCATGACTAGCTGGTCACACGACCCACATGACCATATGAGACCAAGAAAAGCAGAGAAGACCTGAAACAATGGGTTTATTAATGGAGAACCGGCGAGCTCTCATTGATTGGCTAGGGCTCTCCAAACAAAGCCTCCAGGGTAGACGTCGGATCGGCTGAAGGGTCTCTTTGCCAAACTCTTTGAGATCCCTTACAGCAGTGGTTCTCAACCTGTGGGTCGGGACCCCATTTGGGGTCGAACGACCATTTCACGGGGGTTGCCAAACAAGGCTGTCCACCATTTTTTCCCCCTTTTATTTGGCCACGCCCCTGACACCCGGTGAAGTATAAGTGGTTGGGGGTCACCACAACATGGGGAACTGTATTATGGGGTCGTGGCATTGGAAAGGTTGAGAACCACTGCCTTACAGTGAAGGCAAGATGGAGGAATAGTCTGCTGGATTTAGAGTGCATTAGGAATCATTTATTCAAATTATTTGCACATGATGGTGTTGCAAGAACTCAGTCTCTTCCCCGATGGGTTATGTTAGAATATGCTCCTTGCTTTAGGGCACCTGAACCTGATGACAGAAATTCAACATTGCGATGTGGGATTGCTTTAAAATAAACAAAGCCCTGTGTCTGATAGAATGCGATCTGGATTCCCAGGAGGGAGAGGCCGCTGTCCAGAAACAGCACAGATACTGTAGTAAGTTTGTGTGAGAGAAGGAGGATGAAGACAGCTCCTCCCTAATAGTTCCCAGAGTATATCTTTAATGATGCAGCCCAGGAGAGAAGCAACCTAGAACTAAGGAGAAATTTCCTGACAGTGAGAACAATTAATCAGTGGAACGACTTGTCTCTAGAAGTTGCAGGTGCTCCATCACTGCATGATTTTAAGAAGAGATTGAACAACCATCTATCTGAAATGGTGTAGGGTTTCCTGCCTAAGCAGGGGGTTGGACTAGAAGACCTCCAGGGTCCCTTCCAACTATGTTATTCTGTTATGCAAAAAGTCTGTTTTAGTTTGGCGAGATTTCTGCCTATAGAGGAGGTGCAGGAAAAAAAAAACCTGCTTAGAAGAATCAATGGTGTCTTTCTTGGTTTTTGAAGCCTGACACTACAGTATATGAATTCAGAGTACAATGGAATAGAATAGAATATATATCCGATATCATATATTAATTAGTTCATAACGGGTGTCCAGCTAAATGTTTTAATTAGCTCTTGGCTCATGGAAATTTATTGTATGCCTTTATAAATGCATGTGCAATGTAATTTGACTTATTGGAAACTGATCTAAGCCAGGAGAGCCAAAAGAATGCCTTTGGATCACACACACCCTACCTCCTAGAATCCTTGAGGATGGGGAGATTAAAAAAATTAAGGATTTTTTTTCCTTATTCTGTAGCATTGGAGTATATTAAAAGTACAATGGATGTTTGCAACTAGCATGTATTTATGACTGTTGCAGCATCCTATTTTAACAAGCAAAGTTAATAGGGGAAGCCAGATTTGTTTAATGAGTATGTAATTTATATAATTGTAAAATTGTCCATGCTCACTTAACAACTGTCTTGCTTAACAATAGAAAGTCCTGGTTGTCAGTTAAGGACTGTATGTGTACAGTAGCTACCAGATTTGGGCTGCAAAAATTGAGATGACCACTAGACAGCAGCAAAGAGCTGCTATTTGCTCCATGTCTCTGCTGCCACCTAGAGCTTATCTGGATTTCTGCAGCTCGGATCAAGTACAACTCAGTTCTTAAGATTTTGGTACTCGTTTCAAATGTTTCAACACACTTGCAAAAGCAGCAATTTCTTTTCAGGAAAAACAAATCCTTTTGAATATGTCTTTGGTGCTGCAATCAGCTGTTTTCTTTCTCTTGACCTCGGGAGGGAAGCCCATTTTGAGCTAAACTATTTAAATGCAGAGCCCTGAACTGGGTTATGCATCTAATTTTTAATTGTGAAGGGGAATCTGAAAATTTAAGACAAGCAAAATAAGAACTGGAAGGGCAACCTGTTCGAGATTTTCTGGCTGTTGCTCAAACTAGACCTACAATCTTGAATGCAAAAAGTCTCATTGTTGACATTTAGTGGTTACCATTTTGTCAGCCCAGGTATGTTAGACTTATTCTGTATCTCAGATTTGAAATATCAATCATATGATCATTTAAGCCAGTTTCACTATTCTAGAGTTATATGGACAGAAATGTTTAGTATTCTATGTTCTATTTATTTTTCATGATAGACCCAGGTTTAATCTCAGAATCTGTAAACTTCAAACGCAGTTCCTAGCAGAGCCATATGCCACCAGGACTCTACCTTGTTTGAGATACGTGCTCATTAACCATGTTGGCTGGGGATGATGGAAATCAGGGCTGTTTGGCGGCAAAAAGAAAAAAGGCAAGTTGACACCCACAACCATGATCAAGGACCTAATCTTTTCTACATGCACCAAGAGACATGTAACCAGAGGTGGGGATATTCCCACTTCCAGGCTAATTCTGTTGATATCCAACAAATTCTATTGTGGAGACGCCAAAGAGATCCTTCAGAAGAACTGCATCCAACTGAAATAAAGAAGAGATAATTCTGCCTATTCATATGACAGCTGAGTTTTCAAGTTGCCCGGCATGTTTCAGAAAGCAAAGTCCACCTAGAAAAGGCCAAGCATGTGGTTTCTTTCCATACAACCATCCCCTCCTTCTAAATTATGATTCTTCTGGAAATGAGCAAAACTATTGGTTGTACTTGCCTTGTCTTGCCTTTGGCTGCTTATGGTACATTATGAAATCTGATCACAACCACTTTATCCTAGAGTAGCAAGAGCACTTAAATTTACATACTATTCCATAGTGCAGTGTTTCCCAAACTTGACAATTTTAAGGCATGAGGACTTCAACTCCCAGAATTCCACAGCCAGCAATGCTGGCTGTGGAATTCTGGGAGTTGAAGTCCTCATGCCTTAAAATTGTCAAGTTTGGGAAACACTGCCATAGTGCTTTACAGCCCTCTCTAAGCAGTTTTACAGAGTCAACCTCTTGCCCCCAACAAACTGAATCCTCATTTTACCGACCTTGGAAGGATGGAAGACTGAGTCAATTCTGAGCTGGTCAGGATTGAACTCCAGACTGTGGGCAGAGTCAGCCTGCAAATACTGCATTCTAAGCATTGTGCAACTGAAGGTGACGGGGAGTTTTATCACAATACATGTAGAGGACACAAAATTGTGAAGGCTGCATGGATCGTTTTAGCCAGACCGTCATCCCCTCCAATTCCTTTGCCTTAAACTAGGACTGCACAACCCAACCCCACCAATCCTGATCTCCCGATCAGGAGATCCATAGATTCCCTGAAACAGGTGAATGATCACAGACATGCTATACTATATTTTTATGAATGGAGTGGCTCACCTGTATGGAAACGCTGCTATAAGATCCTCCGATGACCCCTGCAATGAGTAAGGGGGTGTTTTCTTGAACCGCATATGAGCCATCAGGACACATGTACTCTGCTTCGTCCACTTTAGTCAAAGAAGCCCTAACAAACTCCAGGGACTGTTCCAACGCGTAGGTGTCTCGTGAGCAAGTATCCAAAATATGAACTCCGAGCTTAATCCCTGGGAGCAAGTGGCTGTCTCTGTTGATCTCATCAATGGCAAACAGCATGGCCTCCAGCCTTTGGATGCCTCGGTCTTCATTGATTCTTCCACACTCTTCAGCACCAGTGCCCTTTTCTTTAATTGGGAAGAGACCTCCCAGCACCAGGTCCCCTTCGATTTTAATTTCTTTCCTTAAAAAGTTATGGTCACCTAGAGAAAGGAAGACACTTTTGGAGAGCAAAGCCAGCGCAAGCACAGGAAGCTTTGCCAACATCTTCACTGGTCCTCTTCCGGCAGCTCTAAGAAACCTTGGTAGAAACGTTAGAGGTCTTCATTCTCTCCAGCACGTAACTGCGCAGGACGAAGAGCTGTCCCATTGAGAAGGGAGGGACAAACCAACTGGACCTTCTGTCAGGTGCCTACGGAGATGGAAAAGGATTAGAAAGAGGGTGAAATGCAAAACAGAATCATAGACTTTTTAAAATTGTTCACTGCAAATATCTTCCTTGCAAATCTTCACGGGAAGCTTGGATTAAGTTCTCTAATGGTGATATGAGAACGACAGGAGGACTATTCTTATCGGTCTGAAGTCCTCCTGAAAATGGGATGCAATGGCTTTGCACGGATGGCCAAACTCCACTGATTTGCCACTCTTAGGCAAGAGGCAGAGTGGGTAATGACAGGCCAGATTATTGTGCATACTAACTCAGTGTATTTTGAACTGTTTGAAGGATCCCAGAAGTGCTTTTCCAAAAGGCAACTGGACTTTCCTTATTATTCCTTGAAGACATTTCGTTTCTCATCCCAAAAACTTCTTCAGTTCTTCTTCAAAATATGAAAATATTTCACTTTAATGTTTTAATATAGTTTTGATGCTTTCCTCTATCATGTCTCACACAAGTCAAAGTCAAAATGTATTTGTTGTCTGAGACTAAACACAACAAAAAGACCAACAATACGTGAAAGTTAATAGAATTATCTCTCTCTCTCTCTGTTTGTCTGTCTGCCTGCCTGCCTACCTCTACCTCTATCTCTATCTCTATCTCTATCTGTCTATCTGTCTACCTGTCTGTCTGTCTGTCTGTCTGCCTGCCTGCCTACCTACCTACCTACATCTCTCTCTCTCTCTCTCTCTCTCTCTCTCTGTGTGTGTGTGTGTGTGTCTGTCTGTCTTCCTGCCTACCTACCTGCCTACCTACATCTCTCTCTCTCTCTCTCTCTCTCTCTCTCTCTCTCTCTCTCTCTCTCTCTCTCTCATTTCTACAGTATATCATCTAGTAAAAAAAATAAAAAAATGTAAGAGATTTTACATCTGCAATATTTCTGTCTCCACCTTCCAGCATTTGGTTTGGTTCCTTTTACAGTGAAAGGGTGCCATTTTGACATTGAGCTAAGCATCACAGTTTAAGTATGGATCTTAACCTATTGCAGCTACAGTTTTTATGTACTTTGAAGGGAATTGAGATAAGGTATATACTTCTGCTCCTGCCCAGCAAAAGCCAAATTGAAATCCCCAGGTCTTCACTTTTAGTCCTGGGGATTTCAATTTGGCCTTTGCTGGGCAGAAGCAGAAGCATATACCTTATCTCAATTTCCTTCAAAGTACATAAAAACTGTAGCTGCAATAGGTTAAGATTCATACTTAAACTACTTTGTCGACAGAGGCTGTGATTTATACATGTGGTGTCCTTTGAACATGCTGGTCTGAATATTAAAAGAATGTAAAATGATTTCCAAATTCATAGGACTTAGTCGGAGAACAATAAATTCTATGAAAAGCAATAAAAATATAAATAAGTTATACAAAGGAGATGCAAAGAAACATCATAACTCTTATGCCAAGAATCAGAAAATCTGCTCCAGCAGTGGATGGTGCTGAATTTAGAATATATAACTTTATGGAAATAAGGCATATGAAAGATGACTGTAGGATTGTGATTCAAATCTAAATTCAATCAGATTTTCCAGACTGACACCTTCAAATTGTGTTGGGATGATAATTCCATGGATTTTCTACCAACTAGTGTAATTGCACATGGACATGTCCTACCTCCCACTCATGATCCTAATGCCAGCTTAGATGATGGCATGTGGCCTTCAAACAGATGTTCTTTTGCTGTAGTCTACTTCACAGAATTGCCTTGAGAGTAAATGAGAGGGACAGCAGTGTTCAGTCAATTATGGGCATCCGTACAAGCCATGATTATATCACTGACGACATGATGTCATTGCGCAGGTGAGGCTCATAGGATTCTGTTACTGACACAATGAGATCATGATAGACATCACCTCACTTCTGTGCATTGTTGAAGCTGAAGATTCAGAAAAAAACCCCTTTCTGATCCATAAATTCCTGGATAAACCTATTCAATTGTACGCTGTGTGTTGTATCCAATGGAGTTTAATGAGTACTTAAATTTAAGAAAAATCAAAGCTGTTATGTCATCTGATTATAGAGAATCTGCTGGGCATTAGAGAAGTAACTTCAGCAAATTAGCCTAAATTTAACACACTTATTCACAAACACACACATACACACAGAAGGATAGTAATTATTTCATTGCACAATTGTTGCCCCCCCCCAGTCTTCATTCTCACTGGTGCATGATGTCGCAGTTAATAGAACAAATGTTTTGCGAGTGAGCAGAAGCCACAGCAAATTACACTGCATGATTAGTTTGATTATTTTAACAGCTTTGTTGAGCGCAGCCTGACAATCGCTAGAACTGTGGCAGGCGTTAAAAAAATAATAATAATACAGCATGATTGATTGCGGATTCCACTTGCTTGCTTGTATGTTGTAATTGTTAATGTCACAAGAGCACATCGGCAACAAGTGCTGCAGCTGATTATAAATCACTGGATAGTTTTTTTTCAAGCACTGTATTGATTTTCCTGTTTCTACACGTTCTCATGTACACTTTTCCTGGGTAAAAAGCTAACGGTAAAACTGATATAGATAAAATACTGTCCTGTTTGTTAAGGTTAGTAAAATGAAAGTCTTATTAAAAAATTGAGAAGGAAACTGCCTAATATTACAGGCTACCTTATGCTTAATTTCTTTGGACAATATTTGACTTTACATAATTTATAGGACAGTGATGGCGAACCTTTTAGAGACCGAGTGCTCAAACTGCAACCCAAAACCCACTTATGTATCGCAAAGTGCCAACATGGCAATTTAATCTGAATACTGAGGTTTTAGTTTAGAAAAAACAACTCATACATTAATATCTTTTGTCTTAAAAGAAAAAACACAATAACAAAGTTTTCAATGATACAAACAACTTTTTACTGAAAGGTAAAAGTCTGCATCTGGCATGCTTTTGAACAAGTAATGTGATTTTTGCTGTGGTATGCGTGCTGATAATTTGTCTAACCTTGCCTCGTACTTTGTAAGTTTGAGAGCAACACATGCAGCACTCAGGTCATCTGTTAGTCTGTTTCTGATGTCAGATTTGATATAATTCAAAGCTGAAAACAGCGCGTTTGCTCCAGAGGCTTGTTTTGGCTAGGAAGGGGCTTGAGAAATAGCTTTTTCCTGTGAAAACTTAGCCAAAGATTGAGGCGTGCCCGCCCACAGAGAGGACTCCAAGTGCCACCTCTGGCATGCGTGCCATAGGTTCACCACCACTGTTATAGGATCTAGATTAGAGATTGGGATCATTGAGAACTTCTTGTCCAGGATGCTATTACGTGAACTTCTCATAGGTAATTTGTGAAGTGCATCAAATCACTGCATGACTCCTGCAGACCATGTGGTGCAGTGTTTTCCATCTCCACCTGTCTGGTTATGGTTGACAGCTCTTCCAAGGATGCTTACAGGATATCCTTGATCCTGTCCATCTGTGGTTTTCTTCTTCATCTCCTTGTCTCAACTTCACCAAGTCAGTTCTTTCTTCTAGCATGTACTATGTCCACAGAATAATAGAATTATAGACCTGGATGTCTAATCTAACAAATCTAAGCTTAAACATCTTTTCAAGTCTATGCTTAGGCAGCTCAAATGAAGAGACACTGCTGTCCTTCCTTGGTTATACTAGTGAATTGCTCTTCCTATACTTTTAAGTTTTTAGCTCTGCCTTTCTATACTTTTAGGCATTATTCCTTGTTCTACAGCAGGGGTGTCAAACTGCCGGCCCGTGGGCCGGATGTGTCATGGTGAAACGGCGCCCACCCCATTGCCGGCAATGGAAAAAAGTCGCGATACGTCCCGACACATCACATGACGTAGTGAGTTTGACACCCTTATTCTACAGTCTTGGATGTCTCTGGCTTCTCCTCAATCATCTTTATCTCAGTTCCTTCAATTTTGATTCAGAGAAACAAAAAGCTGGCTAAATTTCATGAAATGTCACGGATCTCTCATCTCTTGAAAGCTGATGTGGGAACTACCTCAGTGTTGTTGGCATTCTGATATGAGATCTTATAAGATTTCACCAATTGTGATTTTTTTAAAAAAACACCCTTATATTTTATTTTGGAATATGTATCAAGGCCTCTTGGGATTCTGTATTGCTAATTTCCAATTTTGAAAAAGGACACAAGAGAAGGCATTGCTTATAAGCAAAGGCACAGAACAAACAATCCAGGATTTAGCTGGATCAATGCTCTGTTAATGAAAATACCTAAAAGGACTGCCAGCTGGTATGTATTACTTTCTGCCACAGATCAGCTGTGTCTCTGTTTCAACTGGAGATAACAGAATAACAGAGTTGGAAAGGACCTTGGAGGTCTTCTAGTCCAACCCCTGTTTGAGCCCAAGACCCTATACCATTTCAGGCAAATGGATGATCAGTCTCTTCTTAAAAGCCTCCAGTATTGGAGCACCCACAACTTCTGGAGGCAAGGTGTTCCACTGGTTAATTGTCCACATTTTCAGGAAATTTCTCCTTAGTTCGAGGTTGCTTCTCTCCTTGAATAGTTTCCATCTGTTGCTTCTTATCCTGACCTCAGGTGCTTTGGAGAATAGGTTGAGCCCTTCTTTTCTGTGGCAGGACTTCAAATATTGGAACATTGCTATCATGTCCCTATTAGTCCTCCTTTTCACTGGACTAGACATCCTGCAACTGTTCTACGAGAGAAAAAAAGAAAGAAAGAAAGAAAGAAAGAAAGAAAGAAAGAAAGAAAGAAAGAGAGAAAGGAGGGAGGGAGGGAAGGAAGGAAGGAAGGAAGGGAAGGAAGGAAGGAAGGAAGGAAGGAAGGAAGGAATGGAGCTTACCACCTCAGCTAGCAATGTATTGATATATGGAAATGTTTAATGTTGTATGCTACCTGGAGTCAGTGTGAGTCAGGCGATGATATAAACTGGTTTAATAAATAAGCAAGCAAATATGGAAATCTTAGTCTGAAAAATTGCTATCATTAAAATTTTGCATAAAGTGAAATTTAAAGAAAACTTTGAAAGCCCTCCTCAGAT